TATTAGTAGAAACGGGCATAAGAAACGTACAACTTCCGCGTGCACCCATAGGCGATTTACCTCATTCCACCCCCCGCCATCCTGCTGCTTAGAATCATCGATTTTCCACGCAAAATGACGAAATAATTATCGACTTTGATTGTTAATGACTTTGACGAAGCACGAGTCCTTCTCACATTAGGCCTCTGGCCTGTGTTACATCTCTCACATATATTTGTGGTGAGCACGCTGATTATTCAATTGCCACGAGCAAGTGGGACCTACAATTTTAGCACAAATCAGGTGAAAAATTGGAGGTTACTGAGGAACATGATGTTGACAACATACATTAATGTCAAGGCCATCGGCAGTTGCTCACCTTTTCTGTAGTTTTATCATTAATTTATTATTTTATTTAATTTACTCACTTCAATGTTTATTACAATAACTGTGATAAACGATGTCGTAATTATAGCTTTAAAAAAACCGCTTTTTCTCAAGTTGCTAAAAAAGAACTGGAAAAATTCCCGTTTTTTTTCCGAAAAATTGGTTTTTTTGAAAAAATTGCTGTTTTTGCAATATTTATATCATACTATTTAATTTCTAATGTCCTTCATTAAATTAACGTGATCCAGAAAGTTATGTAACTTTCTTTTTTTAATTTTTATTTTTCCTTCTATTTTTATAGTAAAATCTAATGTAACCTTCCTATGGTGCATAGCAAAGCATTAAGTACATGACTGCGAATTGTGCTGCGCAAATGGTTACTATAGATACATTACATAGGTTAGATCGGTTGGATTCAAATATTTATAATTTTTGTCATTCTAAAGACTTTATGTGATTCGTTATTGCAAGTTACAAAATGTGTTAGATTTTGTTTAAATTAGATATAAGATTACAATTAATTCTCATATTTTATAATGTTATTAAAATAAGAAACTTCGTTTAAGCATTGAAATTAATACTGAGCTAACTTTTATATTTACGATTACAATACTACGCCACTTCATGTGAAATTTATTTATTATTAAACGAACAAATTTAGAAGCAAATGTAATCTTAACAACTAATCTGAAGAGTAATTTAAGTTAATACATATAACAGTGTATGTTTCGTATGTTTTATTGAGTACATTATGAAACCTCAATTCTACTTATCCAAATTATCCCGCTGTGTACCCTATACGCAATTACTTTCTTTACAAAAGTATCGAGAGCAAAAGTAGTACATTTTACGAGCAGGCGTGAATTTTTCCAAAATTAATTTTTCTGCCCTTGAGAAAAAAACGAAAGAATCAGCGGAAAAATTGCAAAAATTAGGTTTTTTTCCTTCAAAATTATAGTCATAAATAATATGGAAAAATTAAAAAAAGATTTTCAAATTTTGTACCCTATACTAATTTTTATGGCTAAACTGTATTTTGTAAATAAGATAGCACCTATTTTCAAACAAAAATGTGCAAAATAAGTAATTAATTTTCATTTAAACGTTTAATAACACAAATCGAAATAGCAGAAACGAAACTTCTTGACTTTTAACTGAAAAATACATTCTCTACAATAATGTTTACAATTTAGTGAAAAATTACATGTTTCGATCTCTCTCTCTTCTCACTTTCTTTACACTGACCTTTCCTAAACAGTTTCTGAAATATTTTCCTTAGTATAACCGCGGTTTCGTATTTAGTAACACATCGCGACACAGCGCGGATGTAATGGCTCCTCCAGAAAGATTAACATACAGTTGGGTGTGGGAACATTTTCGTAAATTAGACGATATTGCTGTACAATGCAATATAGGTAGTTGTAATCAAATTTATCGTGATAAATCACTAAGTTCATTGATAAAAACGATGAAGCTCCATTTGTTCCTAATACACAATAAATCGACTGAAGAAGACCGCGTAAAATGGAAAAACGACAATAACATTGTATGGAAATACTATGCCAAAGGCGACTTATACAGAGCAAAATGTAAATTTTGTGGGTATGTTCAGCGTGAGTCACACATATCATATCTGAAGAAGCATCTGCTAAATGTGCATGTTCAAGAAATAATAGCTGCTCTACAAAACGAAATTGCAAATACATCGCTATCGCTTTATTTCGAATTTCATGTGGAACAATTTAGTGCACAATGCAAACGTTGCAATGTTAAATTGGACATATTTTACGGAACAGTTGTCTTAATACATCACAATTGTTCACAAAGAGGTCAACGTTTAACGTCTCGACAATCAATAGCCGTTGAAAATCCAAGTACAAGTTCACATTATGACAATGTAAACAGACAAGCTTCTGGAAACCGAGAAATTGAAGGAAGGTAACTGTTATTTAATTAAACTGTTAAAGTTTTACTCGAGTTATTAATGTATTATGTACACTTTAATATTAATCAAATATTTAGTATTATATTTAATTCAATTTTTATTTACCTCAACGTTTATGACAATACCGGTGGTAAACGATGTCGTAGTAGTCACCAGTAAAACATCAAAAACCATTTCCAAGTATAATCTTGTACCAATTTGCAAGCTTAATTTAATCTTAATTTTCGAGTAAAAATATGTGTTAAATATATAATATTAATCTTAATCTGAATGATAACAGAAATCATATTGTGGAAACTGAACTATATTCTCAACTGAAAAATTCAATCAATAATATTTATATATTAATAAACAGTTACACATCTCTCTCTCTCTCTTTCTCTCTCTCTCTTACCAATCTTTCCTAAACAGCTTCTGAACATTTTCTATGGCTCAATTGTTATTTTGTATTTAGTAACACATCACCATACTGTGCGGTTGTAATGCCAGCTCTCGAAGAATCAGACAGTTGGATGCGCCAAAATGTTGATATATTAGACAATTCTAATATACAGTGCAAAAAGTGTCCTAATCGTTATAAAATATCAGATCAACATATAGACTCGATGATAATGATAAAAGAACATTTATACTATGAACATGAAGTATACGATAAAGAAGATCGCTTAAAATGGGAAAAAGACAACGACTTCATATGGGGATATTTCGACAAATCTATAAAGTTATTTTTTGCAAAATGTATATTTTGTAACGCCTCACTTAAATGTCTGTATAAAGAACCCTTAAGGGATCATCTAAAAACATATCATTGGAATGAATTACAATTAGAGATAGAAAAAGTAATTGCAGATCATTTGCTATACGTACAATTCAAAATCGATATAGCAAACTTAACCGCAATCTGTGAACGTTGCGGTTATACTTTTAGAATATTGGAAACAGGAATAGATGACTTAAAATCTCATTGTCAACATCATAGAAATGAAGAATTAAGAATTGAAGAAGGAGCAGCAGATAATAATGAAAATAGAGTGATGCAACTAGCCGTACCAGCAGAAAATATGACTACACGTTATCGTAATGAAAGTACATATTGGCAAGGTATTGAAAATCAAGAAGATGAACAAAGGTAAATGATAGTAACGTTAATGTATGTTATGCTTTTAGAAGGATTATACTCTATTATATACAATTATTTCAACGGAATTGAACATTTAACTATTAATAATATAGATTTTATAATTTTAAGTCAAACATTTAACAAATATAATTAGAATGTTATATTTATGACCAAACCAAAAAATATTAACTAATGTATATAATTCAAGTTTTGAAAGAAATAACATGGATCCCATAGTATACACCCTTATACGACATTTCGATGGTGAATTCTCGTCATGATAGTACAACCTGACAAGCTGTTGGATACCAAAAGATCAACAGAGGTACGTTCTACTAATTTAATGTACCAAGGCTTACTAACATAAAAATTCGAGACACAAAGTTCAATGATAAAGAAGCTCTCGAAAGATTGATTAACTGTCAATGTCTACAGGTTACAAATCGATATTCAAAATTTTAAGGAAGACTTAACGTTAAAATAATATAATGTATATAGGATGATACATCAGTCCGTAGAAACAGAAAATATAACTACAACTCATCATCTTGGAAGTACATATTGTAAAACTCGTAGAAGTCAAAAGGTAAACAAAGATAACTATCATATTATAAATATGTTAACATTTTATTCTTTTAAGTTATTAATATACTATGCAAAGTTAAAATATCATTATAAACTTAAAGTTTAAAAGTACGAATTAAACTTCAAGTATTTTACTTGTATATACCTTAATGTTATATAATCAAATTATATAAAGTTGTTTATATTTAATTCTGAAATACGTTCTGTAAACTTGAACGTGCCATTACATACAGGATGTTTCATTTTCATTGCAACAGAAACTGTTTCAAATATTAAATATATGTCTTAAACGAAAGTTGGTTTACTTGAAAGTGGACAAATAATGGTAAAAATCAGTTTGTGAAAAAATCGATTCTTTATGGTCACATGGAAGTTAGGACTATTTTGTAAAAGGAATTATATCATTTTTTTACATAACACTTTCAAATTAATATGTTTCTAAATGCATATAGATGAAATATCAAAGAATCAATAGTTTGAAATTTATTTTATACTTTATTGCAGTTCGCCTTGATAAAACATTTCTTAAACTACTATTTTTTTGTATTTTTATGCAAGCAAATGAAAAAATTAGGGTGTATAAGAAAAACGGACAGTTGCTTTTCAATAAAACTATTACAATTTGCCATATAAATCCATATTACTTACGAACAGCAACTATGTATGTGTTTTCTTATACCGATTTATTGATCTCGTTATTATATGTATTAAGTGCTAAGATTCGTTTATCAAAGATTAATTATTTAAGAGATGCTTTATATTTCATGTGAAATTAATGTAAACGATAACCCGTAAATAATTGATTTCTTGACTTTTATTGTTATATATTCGTATATACAGGACAATAATACAAATATCACATAAAAGAAATTATAAAATTCTATTTAAAAAATTGTCATAATCATTATATGTATAGTAATAAGAAAACTATTTTATTGAAAATTTATTTTAAAATTACGTGTGGCATTTCAATCTATAAAACTTTTATCTGAAATGTTTTTCTGTATCTTCGGGCTTTACGAACCTTATTTGTCTGCTTGGCACTTAAAATATAACACTCCATATGTGGAATCGATATATTCAGTAATTAATAGATATTGTACATGAATAATTGCTCAATTATTATGAAATCTGAATAGTAACTAGCAGTCAGCTTGAAAATTCTTGTTTAGGAAACATGAATAAAAGGAAGAGTGATAAAAACTTCCCTAGTTTTGATTGATCAATTAAATAATATATACCTGTCTGCAATATGATATTGTCCTTATTATACATTAATACTTATTTTTCAACTTTCTAATTACGTTGTATGTATCTATAGGTCCAATCACAATGAAAGATCTGTAACTCATCACGAAGTGTGGAGACCGCATTCGCGACATCTGAAATAACAATTAATTATTTTGATTTTGATGTTAAAACATATAAATAATCGGAAACACATATAATTATTAGTTTTGCATTATAACGTAAAGGACTATTATGATTAAAGCAACTTTCTGATAAAGACACAATTTACAGGTTGCGTTTCATTAGAATTGTTTTTGAATTAATAGAGTATCGTCAAAAATTTGAATTTTTTTTATATCCATGTACAATTACAATAGTATATTTCGTATAACATCTTATGTCAAGTATAAGAATATGTCATATGTTATAATTCGTATATACAAGGTGTCTCATTTAATGATTCAAACGCAATTGTGTCAAATTATATATTATTCTCAAAAATGATTAAAAAATGGAACTTACTTTATTCTGCGGAAATTCGTTTTGGTCACAGTTCATTTCAAAGTGGACGTTTCTTTAACTATACAATTTCCAAATGTGCTTTTCTTTCTTAAAAATGGATAGTAAATGCTATCTTGAAGGCATGTCCATCGAAAGGAAATCTATAATATTAATAAAATTTGTCTTTCTCGAAACAAAGTAAGCTTCACTAAAATATAGAATTTAGAATAACAAATAAGCTGATAGATATTTGTGTTCTAAGATTAAAATGATATGTCCTGTATGTATTAGATATATTGTGAAATATTCCTTAATACTGACGGATAATACTCACATTATTTAAAATATTTATCATCTATAAATTATTTTAAATTTTTAGAAATAACTTGATTGTATTATTGTTATTATAAAATTAATGTAAAACTGAAACGTTCTCCAAATACCATATTTGTACTTGTTTCAAAGTTGATATACATAAATAGGTTGTCATATGGTTATTGAAAAAGGAATGCACTTTAATTAAGAAGATATACTGTCAAGAGATTTTTATTATTTAATCAATAATTAATTAGTACTATGCATCACTTCTTATAACACACGATTAACGTTTAGCCTTTCTGTTTTTTATTAACTTGTAACTTTCTTTTAACATTCTTTGAACATTTTTTAATGTTAAACGTTTCCAAAAGGAATGAATTTTTTTAGCGTAATAATATTTTATACTGATGATTAGATAATTTAATGTTCGCTTTGTCTTTACACATGCAATCGCGCATATTCTCATTTTTTGGATCAGTTAAGAGCACAATTTACATTAAATGGTATTCAATATACATTCTTATTTTTTATTTAGAAGTAAAAACGATAAGATTACATGTAAATCTTCTAACTTTAATACAGCAAGTTAAAATAAAACTAATAAGATATTACAATATATTAAATATGCAAAATAGTAATGTAATAAAGTGCTATACATTTTTATGATTTGTTTTTTAACGTATCATTAAAATGCTTTTATTATGAAATATTTGATGTAATGGAATTGTGAACTTATAAAATACAATTCAGAAATAAACACAAAGCAATTCGAATATCGTTTAAGCAGTAATTTTAGTTTCCTCGGGCTTTAATATTACTTTCGAATTATATATCTATCGTTTTGAAAGTCGATGACTCTAAGCATTGGAGGAGAGATAGAATAGACTAGGGGCACACAACTGTCCACATAAAACGAGGTTCACCCTGTATATACATATAAAAAACTAATTTCTACCAACCTAAATTAACTTTAATCTCAGTTCAACTCTCTCTTCATCTTTTTCTTATTCTTTAAACTAGAAAAACATGAAGAGTTAGTTGAACTGATTTAAAAGTTAAACTGCATTAGTAGAAACGGGCATAAGAGACGTACAACTTCCGCGTGGAAAATCGTGCGCCCATAGACGATCTACCTCATTCCACCCCCCGCCTTCCTGCTGCTTAGAATCATCGATTTTCCACGCAAAATGAGGAAATAATTATTGACTTTGATTGTTAATGACTTTAACGAAGCACGAGTCCTTCTTCTTACATTAGGCCTCTGGCCTGTGTCACACCTCTCTCATATACTTGTGGTGAGCACGCTGATTATTCAATTGCCACGAGCATGTGGGACCTACAATTTTAGCACAAACCCGGTGAAAAATTGGAGGTTACCGAGGAACATGATGTTGATAACATACGTTAATGTCAAGGCCATTGGCAGTTGCTCTCCTTTTCTGTAGTTTTATCTCTCAATAATTTATTATTTTATTTAATTTATTCACTTCAACGTTTATTACAATAACTGTGATAAACGATGTCGCAATTATAGATTTAAAAAAACCGCTTTATCTCAAGTTGCTGAAAAAGAACTGGAAAAATTCCCGTTTTTTTCCGAAAAATTGATTTTTTTGAAAAAATACTGATTTTGCAATATTTATAACAAGCTATTTAATTTCTAATGTCCTTCATCAAATTAAGATGATCCAGAAATTTATGTAACTTTCTTTTTTTAATTTTTATTTTTTCTTCTATTTTTATAGTAAAATCTAATATAACCTTCCTATGATGCATAGCAAAGCATTAAGTACACGACTGCGAATTGTGCTGCGCAAATGGTTACTATAGATACTATAGATACATTACATAGGTTAGATCGGTTGGATTCAAATATTTATAATTCTTGTCATTCTAAAGACTTTATGTGATTCGTCATTGCACGTTACAAAATGTGTTAGATTTTGTTTAAATTAGATATAAGATTACAATTAATTCTCATATTTTATAATATTATTAAAATAAGAAACTTCGTTTAAGCATTGAAATTAATACTGAGCTAACTTTTATATTTACGATTATAATACTACGCCACTTCATGTGAAATTTATTTATTATTAAACGAACTAATTTAGAAGCAAATGTAATCTTAACAACTAATCTGAAGAGTAATTTAAGTTAATAGTGTTAATACATATAACAGTGTATGTTTCGTATGTTTTATTGAGTACATTATGAGACCTCAATTTTGTTAACTTATCCAAATTATCCCGCTGTGTACCCTATACGCAATTATTTTCTTTACAAAAGTATCGAGAGCAAAAGTGGTACATTTTACGAGCACGCGTGAATTTTTCCAAAATTAATTTTTCTGCCCTTGAGAAAAAAAACGAAAGTATCAGCGGAAAAATTGGAAAATTTCGGTTTTTTTCCTTCAAAATTATAGTCATAAATAATATGGAAAAATATAAAAAAAGATTTTCAAATTTTGTATCCTATACTAATTTTTATGGCTAAACTGTATTTTGTAAATAAGATAGGACCTATTTTCTAACAAAAATGTGAAAAATAAGTAATTAATTTTCATTTAAACGTTTAATAACATAAATCGAAACAGCAGAAACGAAACTTCTTGACTTTTAACTGAAAAATACATTCTCTACAATAATGTTTACAATTTAGTGAAAAATAACATGTTTCGATCTCTCTCTCTTCTCACTTTCTTTACACTGACCTTTCCTAAACAGTTTCTGGAATATTTTCCTTAGTATAACCGCGGTTTCGTATTTAGTAACACATCGAGACACTGCGCGGATGTAATGGCTCCTCGAAAAAGATTAAAAGACTGTTGGGTGTGGACAAAAGTTCGTAAATTAGACAATTTTGCTGTACAATGCAATATAGATAGTTGTACACAAACTTATCATGTTAAATCTAAAAGTAAATTGGTAAAATTGCTGAAGGTCCATTTGTTCCATATGCACGGCTTATCGCCTGAAGAAGATCGCGAAAAATGGAAAAACGACAATCAATTGGTATGGAAATACTATGCCAAAATCGACATTTACAAAGCAAAATGTAAATTTTGTAAGCATGTTCGGCATGAGGGACTCATATCAAATCTGAAGAGGCATCTGCAAAAAAAACATGATCGAGAAATAAGAGCTGCTCTACAAAACGAAATTGCAAATACGTCGCTACCGCCTTATTTCGAAATTCATGTGGAACAATTTAGTGCACGGTGCAAACGTTGCAATGTTGAACTGGACATATTTTTCGGAATAGATATCTTAATAAATCACGATTGTGCAGAAGAAGATCAACGTTCAATGTCTCGACAATCAATAGCCGATGAAAATCCAAGTACAAGTTCACATTATGATAATATAAACAAACAAGCTTCTGGAAACCGAGAAAATGAAGGAAGGTAACTGTTATTTAATTAAAATGTTAAAGTTTTACTCGAGTTATTAATGTATTATGTACACTTTAATACTAATCAAATATTTGATATTTTAATTAATTCAATCTATTTACCTCAACGTTTATGACAATACCGGTGGTAAACGATGTCGTAGTAGTCACCAGTAAAACATCAAAAACCATTTCCAATTATAATCTTGTACCAATTTGCAAGCTTAATTTAATCTTAATTGTCAAGAGTAAAGATGTGTTAAATATATAATATTATTCTGAATGATAACAGAAATCATATTTTGTGGAAACTGAACTATATTCTCAACTGAAAAATTCAATCAATAATATTTACATATTAATAAACAGTTACACATCTCTCTCTCCCTCTCTCTCTCTCTCTCTCTCTCTCTCTCTCTCTCATCAATCTTTCCTAAACAGCTTCTGAACATTTTCTATGGCTCAATTGTTATTTTGTATTTAGTAACCCATCACCATACTGTGCGGTTGTAATGCCAGCTCTAGAAGTATCAGACAGTTGGATGCGCAGAAATCTTCTAATATCAGACAATTCTAATATTAAGTGCAACTTGTGTCCTAATCATTATAAAATATCAGTTCAACATATAGACTCGATGATAATGGTAAAAGAACATTTATACTATGAACATAAAATATACACTAAAGAAGATCGCTTAAAATGGGAAAAAGACGACTTCATATGGGGATATTTCGACAAATCTAAGTTATTTATTGCAAAATGTAAATTTTGTAACGCGTCACTTAAATGTCTGTATAAAGAACCCTTAAGGGATCATCTAAAAACATATCATTGGAATGAATTACAATTAGAGATAGAAAAAGTAATTGCAGATCATTTGCTATACGTACAATTCAAAATCGATATAGCAAACTTAACCGCAATCTGTGAACGTTGCGGTTATATTGTTAAAATATTGGATACAGGAATAGATGACTTAAAATCTCATTGTCAACATCATAGAAATGAAGAATTAAGAAATGAAGAAGGAGCAGCAGACAATAATGAGGATAGAGTGATGCAACTAGCCGTACCAGCAGAAAATATGACTACACGTCATCGTAATAAAAGTACATATTGGCAAGGTATTGAAAATCAAGAAGATGATCAAAGGTAAATGATAGTAACGTTAATATATGTTATGCTTTTAGAAGGATTATACTCTATTATATACAATTATTTCAACGGAATTGAACATTTAACTATTAATATTATAGATTTTATAATTTTAAGTCAAACATTTAACAAATATAATTAGAATGATATATTTATGACCAAACCAAACAACATTAATTAATGTATGTAATTCAAGTTTTGGAAGAAGTAACATGGATGCCATAGTATACGCCCTTATACGACATTTCGATGGTGAGTTCTTGTCATGATAGTACAATCTGACATCTG